TTTTACCATTTTCGGCATCCAGACATTTCAATAACAGTCATTGCCCCAGTTTCTAAGTGCTTTCTATGAGACAAGCAGCTGAAAGACTGCTTGGCATCTTGTCAAAACGGCATGCTGCTACATCACGTTGTAGGGATTGCCAGAGACGGAAAATCTAGAAAAGATGAGTCTTCTTCAAATTGATCCGTGCTGTTGCTTAGTGATAATACTATTTATTTCTTATACATGGAGAATGAATTGGGAAATGAGATGGCTGTGGAACATTTTGTCATACTGCACCATGTTTGTTCTGAACTACAGGGAAGCCCCACCCCTCCAAAACAAGGTAACCCTAGGAAAGAGTGTGCCCAGTAAGAGTTGCTCCTTACAACATCTGAGGTCACGGGATACTTTCCCAATCACCTGAGAAACGCAAGTATAAATTGGGGAAGGCAAATTAATTAGCCTGAAACCACCTCTCATTTATTACTAACTCTGGCTGTTACTAGAAGTCGTCTGAAGTACTCAAGGTGCAAAGGAAGGCTAGCACAATAGATCCTGGTGTGGACTCGTACAAATTCAACGGGGGATGCTGAAGCAGCCTGCTGAAGATTGCTCAAAAGTGCCATATGGTAAATTGTTATATCAGGATAAAGGGGGAACAGAAGAAAAAGATCAAACATCCTAATGCATCTGATGGTAAGATAAGGTATTGCTTCAAAATCGTAGAAACCCTTATTAAACCAAACCATCACAAGGTAAGCTCTTGTTTCTCAACACATCCTCCCATCTAGGCTACACACTTGTAAAGGCAGCGCTTCCATCTCGCTCCACCTTACCCAGAGAATGCTGCACACTTCGACTTATACCACATCAAAACATCTTCAAGGGACTCAGATCTGTTCTTCTTCAAGGTTCTGTGAGTTGTGGGAATAAGCATAAGTCTGAAGATGCTAGATCAGGGCTGCAGGGTGATTTGGGTTAGATTTCCTAATGAAATTCTCCTGGGACAGCCCTTGCTACCCCTTAAAGAAAGAGCAGGTGCATTGTCGTGATGGGGGAGGATGGACTCCTTGGCACAACTTCCCTGACCTTTTTCTCATCAGTGCAATCTCTAATTTTCTGAAGAACTTCATACTAATCCTCTGTGATTGCCGGGTCCTTTGAGAAAATCTATCAAGACGGCCTCTCTTGACTCCCAAAAACCTGTTGCTATAACCTTCTGAACTGAGCTGACCTTTCCACCTTGAAGGTAAATGGCTCAGTAGTTCCCCTTGGAAGCCACTGTTTTCGTAGGACTTTGCTCCCTGTACTGTACTGGCAAATCCAAGACTTAGCCCTTCTGACAGATTCCACAGAATCATTTTTAGTACCTTCAATCTTGCAGAACATTAAAACGCTGATAGTAAAGATCAGCCCTTTGAGCTATCTGATCTTTGGTACAATGCTTTTGGCGCCAATCAAACTCAAAGCGTGCTGCTAAGATGCTCACTTAAAATTGAAAACGCAGAACCACATTAGGTCCTAACTCAGTAGCTATGACATCAGTGATTATTCTAACATCTTCTACCAATTTCAGGATTTCACCCACAGTTTCATCATTCATTGAGGTTAACAGTCTTCCCTAGGTTTACTTTGAGGTTTTCTTTAAAATGTTGATCCTAAAAACCATTGTTTTACGTGGGATAGCATTCCTGTGAACTTGTTGCAAAGCTTCAGTGATTTGGAGACACACACAGTCAGTTACGGCCAAATTTTGATATTAGCGGTTACTTCAAAATAATATTTTTTCATGGCACAAAGAGTATCGTTTTTTTGAAGGCACTCCCACTAAGCTAGTGTATTCCTGAGAGAGCTTGTCTGCAGCCATCCACTGATCTCAGCATCCACGGCTAAGAAGAAAGTAGATTCTGACATGTGGTTTCCAAAGCTTCACAGGAGCAGAAAGCCTCATAGTTCTTTCCAGGAACGGCTGGAGGGTTTGAACTGATAATCTTACAGTTAACCACCCAACAATTTCTAGATAACGTCCTTCTGTTTGGAATAAATCCTGGCACAGTGGGGTAAACACTGAGCTACTGATCAAAAGGTCATCTGTTCAAACCCATCAGCTGCTCAGCCAGAGAAAGATGAGGCTTTCGGCTTCGGTGAAGATTGAGTCTTAGAGACTCTTGAAGGTTTCGGGTGAGTTGCAACTGACAGGGGTTTGATATGTATGGACTGGAAGCCCAGGAGAAATCCTTTTGGCCTTAGCTTTCATGCGGCTGGAGGGTCACGTTACCTGAGACAGAATTGTACAAGGAATCAAAAAAAGGCTTCGCCCCGTAGAACTTGGAAATGAAGCTGAGGTCCTGTGCAAAGCTATGTTTCTGGATAATTTAAAAGAGGCTAAGTGGTGAATAGGAGCAATTTTAATTTTATATGTGGTCATATTTGTGTATAAACAAATGAAAAATTATCTTAAGTAAACATATTTTTCCCCTCTAATTTCTTAAATAGTTATTTAAGTTGGCCATAAAATAGTGTTTTGAATCCTCTCACTGGAAAATTCTGAGTTGAATACTTTATGCTCGATGTGGACAAGTATTATTGGGTTGGTTCCAACTCCTCGTGACCCATGTACCACAGAATCAAACATGCATGGTCTGGTTTTGTTCCATCCTCCCAATCACTGCCATGTTATATATAGCCCATGGTAGCAACTACTGGGTCAATAATTGTCATCTTGTTGAGGGTCTTCCTCTTTTTCACCAACCTCCTACTTTACCAAGCGTGATGTTCTTCTCTGGGGACTGGTCCACCCTGGAACCTGTCCAAAATACTATAGAGGAAGTCCTTCCATCTTCCTTTCAAAGGAATATTCTGGCAGTACTTCTTCCAACATAGATCTGTTTGTTTTTCTAGAAGCTGGCAGTAAATTTAATATTCTTTGCCAGACCCATAATTCAAATATATCAATTTAAAATACCAGGGCTTGGGTCAGGTGCACCTTAGTCATCAAAATTACATCGTTGCTTTTTAACCCTTTAAGTAGGTATTTTGTAGCACGTTTGCTCGGGGCAATACATCATGTGATTGCTGCATCTATGATGTTGACTTTGCATTCAAGCAAAATGAAATCATTGATACTGCCGGTCTTTCTTTTCCCTGGTTTATCACAGTGTTACTTATTGGTCTAGTTGTGAGGATTTTTTTTTTTCCTCTCTATGTGGAGGTGTAATTCATACTGATGGCTGTAGTCTTTGATCCTCACTAGGAAGTGCCTCAAGTTCTCTTATCTTCTAGCAAGGAAGATTGTGTCACCTGCACATAGCAGGTTGTTAATGAATCTGACTCCAATTCTGAAGCTGCAGCCTTCTTCTTGTAACCCAGTTTTTTAGGCTATTTGCAGAACATACAGATTGAGTAAGTATGGGGAGAGGATAGAACCTTAATGTATATCTTTCCTGATTATAAGCCTATCAGCATTAGCCTGTTCTCTTCAAAGGACTGCCTCAGTACAGGTGCCACATGAGCCCAGTTAAGTGTTTTAGAATTCCCAATTTTCCAGTGTTACCCATACTTTGTTATGATCCACAGCTGAATGTCTTTGTCTGGTTAATGAAACACAGAAAAACATCTTTCTGCTCTTTTCTACTTTTAGCCAAGATCAACCTGATATAAGTAATGATATCCTTTGTTCCATGTTCTATTCTGAATTTGGCTTGTATTTCTTGCAGTGTCCTGACAATGGACTGCTACAACTGTTTCTTGACATACTGTCAGCAAAAATGTACTCTAAATATGATATTGTTCAATAGTTTCTCTATCCATAGATCAACTCTCTTTGGAATGTGCATGTATATGCATCTCTTCCAGTCATTCGCCTAGGTAGCTGCCTTCCAAATTTCTAGGCCTAAATGACTGTTTCTAGTGTTGCATCCTCTTGTTGAAACATATCAACTTGTATTCTGTCAATCCCTGGACAGAATTTTTTCGTCCAATGTTGTCAGTGCAGCTTGGACTTCTTCCTCCAATACCATTGATCCTTGATCGTATACTACCCCAGAAATAGTGAAATGTTACCCAATTATTTTTGGTACGGTGACTCGGTGTATGTCTTTCATCTTTTTTGATGTTTCTACATTCACTATTTTGCCTGAGGGAGTAGGGGGTGGGAGTGGGGTCACTAGACCACACCCAGAGCAGATGAGCACAGAGGATGTCACAGGGACTTGAAGTCCCTGGGCCCAGAATGTCCTAGGTTCGGGAGACACAGAGGGAGATGGCAAGAGGGGGCAAGCAGGGGAAGATACACAGCGGCAGCAGCATCAAAAGGCCCATGTGAGAGCGCTTTCTGGTACACTGTGCAAGGCAGGTACAGGGCCATGCCAGCCCACAGATTGAGAAGTTCAATGCCTTAGGGTAGGAAGCTTGCTGGTGAAGTGGGGTCCCTCCGGACATTTGTTGATGGGGATAGATTTGGGGACTCATGGAGCAAGTGCTCCAAGTGCCTCAGGCCAAGGATTCCTTTTGAAGTGATGTCTCTGGGTACATACTGGTAGAAGTACTATGACAAAATAAACATGGACAGCGAAACGATGGAGAAAGCTGGAACATATGGGATCACAAAATGTGTGTGAATTTCTTCCTATTGAACTGGACTCATTACAGCACCTTAAACCACGGGGATCTGCAATCCTGGTATCATTAATTCTTCATGGCATTCGGCTCTGCGAGTGAGGTTGTGGAGTGATAACACATCCCAAGGAAAGTCTAATCATGGCTGTTGCAGACAGCCATGTACTGGACAAATCTAGCGGTGCACACACATCATGGTCGCCCTGCATCGCTGTACTTAGAAGACAGTTCAGGAAGATGCGGGAAGAAACACCTCTTCTCCCCTAAATGACACTAAGGGTCCCAGAGTGACCCCAACGGAACAGCTCCTCCAGTGAGGGGAGTGCCAAACACTGATCTCACGCAGTACGAGAACTGGTTTCCTACGACCTAAGAGCTCAGTGAATACACAGAGCGCTTACCTTGTAGATCCCAAAGAACCCCAGGTCCCGCAGGACAGACAGGGCACTGACCCGAGGACCAGTGGTGATTTCTCCAGCCACCTGCAAACGGATCTTGACAATTTCTAAAGGGTTAGTGAAAATCACCTGGGAGCCTCCTGCCTGAAAAAGGAAAAAGAGAAAAAGAAAATATTAGGACCTGAGAGTTTCCAGGGGCAGAAGGCACAAGGTGACGGTGAGCAGAGCTGAGCGGTGAGCCTCAGAGGAGTCAGGGAGGCCGCCCTCAGGAGGCCCTCGTTTCCACCCCTTTCTCGCTCACGTCACACGGTGCTTCTGAATTTGAAGCATGACACAGTTACTGCCACAGACACCCTGGGTCAAGAGGCCCACCAGGAGGCAGGGGGAGGAGGGCGATCAGAGACAGCTTCTGAGGTCTGAGTCTTCACACCAACACAACAAACCCGGCACCACAAGCATCAGCTTCCGCAGGGCTCGGTCAAGGGCACCAAGCCACCAAGGACAACAATTAGTATGGAAAGGAAAAGAGCTGCCTCTGTGAACAGTAGGAGGGCAAGGAGGATATAACGAGTGTCACGTGATGGATTTCTTACTAGCAATGATTGAAAAATTGTCAGAGAACATGTAAACTTAGATGAAAGTGATTTTTCTTCTGGGGAAAAAAATCGGTCAATCATCAAATACCGTTTTATGGAGTTACATATTTTTGTAATTTTATTTATATATTATGTGGTATAGAAGTACTCTTCTCATATAAGATAAAAGGTATGATCGAGTAGGAATGAGATGCATTAAGTCAATTATGGCCCAAACTTTGAACAACTTGTGTTATTTCATTCCAGCAATGGCTGGGTGCCATGCCTGCAAGAGCATCAGTGGAAATCTTTAAAGTGCACTATAAGGGAAATTGTAAGCTAGCTGTTTTGAAGTTAAGCCTGTATTTATAATGTGCAATTACATTCTTTATTACACCAACTTGGTATTCCTGGTGACTGAAATATACACAATTTTTGTAGCTAAACTAAGGTTAGTAGAGAGTGCAGCTCAGAATATTTTGTGGTGATATCCCCAGAGCTGGTCCACATACTGCTTCCATTCTACAGCTCAGGAGATGCCATCATGGGAACAGACACATCTGGGTCAATATCATCAAAAACTACGTGCTAGATTCCCTGATCTCATGAGCGAATGTTAATGCTACAAAATGGCCTTTAGGAATCCAAACTAGCTACGAGGACTTTTTTTAAAAATAGCATTCTTCATAATATCTGGGAATAAAAACCTCGGAATAACACAAATATTCAATAGTAATAAGCACCCTCCAAACCAAACCCACTGCCACCAAGCGGATGCTAACTCCTAGAAACTCCAGAGAGAACTGCCGCTTTGGGTTTCCAAGAATGGAGAACTCTGTGGGAGCAGACAGCCTTATCTTTCTCCTACGGAGTGACGGGTGCCTTTGAACTGTTGCCCTTGGCAGTCCAATGACTATCCCACAGCTCTACTAACAGTGGTGCAACAAGGATTGAATACATTTGAGTATATTCATGAATGCACGATGCCAGCAAGGAGATACTTTGGGAAAATAACTGAAATCTTCACACCCGGACCAATAGGTTAACTCATGATAAATGGAGAAAAGATTGCACTTGTCAAGGATTTTGTCTTGCTTGGATTCACAATCAATGTCCATGGAAGCAGCAGTCAGGCGATCAAATGATGATGCATTGCATTGGGTAAGCAGGGATGCTACTTTGAAGACTAAAGTGTGCTTAACCCAAGCTGTGCTATTTTCAATTGCCTCACAGGCATGTGAAAGTTGGACACGGAATAAGGAAGGGGACAAATGAATCAGCACATTTGAATCACGGTGCTGGAGAAGAATAGTGAAACTACCGGGGAATGCCAAAAGAACAAGCAAATCTGCTTCCAAAGTAAAGAATGCTCTTTAGAGGGCAAGGATGGCGAGACTTGGGCTCACATACTTTGGACATGTTGTCAAGAGAGGGACAGTGAAAAAGAGGAAAACGGGTTGACCCAGTGGCTGCATCAAACAAGAACCTGTGTAAGCACGGCGCAGGGCCAGGCGGTGTTTGTTCTGTTCCACATAAGGCTGCTATGAGTTGAAACCGACTGACAATACCTAACGAACACTGCTAAAACATGCACGGACGCTTCCCCCTACATCCTGCTTCTGCACAAAAAGAGATACACCACAGTGGTGCTGTTAAGTTGGTGGGGGAGTGCATTTCCACCCCCTCTTCCTTAAAACAAAAGTTTTCTAGATGGATCATGTACTAATCCTAGAAAGAGAGATACTCGTGTGTAAGTTATCTAACATACATAACATTGTTGGCAGGAAACATGCAACAATGAAAACAGCCTCTACCTACTGATTCAATCAAATTGGCTGTTCGGTGCCATCTGTCTGCTCTGAAACAGGGACCCTGTGCATGGCCCTGCTCCATCCTCACATCGGTCCTTTGCCCGAGCCCACTGTTGCAGCCACCATGTCAATCCATCTCATCAGGGGCCTTCCTCTTTTTTTGCCAACCCTCCACTTTACCAAGCATGCTGTCCTTCTCCAGGGACTGGTCTCTCCTGACACCATGACCAAAGTGTGTAGGACCAAGTCGTGTCCTCCTCGCCTCTATGGAGCATTCTGGCCTTAATGCTTCCAATACAGATGGATCACTTTGTCCTTTCATCATCCCTCTTCAGCACCGCAATGCAAATGCATCCCTTCTTCCACAGTCTTCCTTATTCAAGGTCCAATTTTCACACACATATGATGCAATACAGAATAGCATGGCTTGGATCAGGTGCACCTCAGTCCTCAAAGTAACATCCTTGCTCTTCAATACCTCAAAGTGATCTTGTGCAGCCCATCTAATGCAAGACATCTTTTGATCCCTTGACTGCTGCTTCTATAAGCAGTGATTGTGGATCCAAGACAAAATCCTTGACAAGTTCCACCTTTTTTCTATTTATCAGGATGGTACCTATTGGTCCAGTTGTGAGGATTTTGGTCTTCCTTACATCGAGCTGTAATCCACACAGAAGGCTATAGTCCTGGATCCTCACCAGCATGCGCTTCAAGTTCTCCTCGCTTTCAGTAAGCCATCTGCATATCACAGGTTAATAGCCTTCCTCCAACCCTGATACCACACTCTTCTTCGTATAATCCAGCTTCTCTGATGGTCTGCTCAGCATGTAGACTGAACAAGTATGGTGAGAGGATACAACCCGGACACACACCTTTCCTCATTTTAAACCATGCAGCATTCCCTTGTTCTGTCTGCACGACTGCCTGTACAAATTCTGAATGAGCACAATGAAGTGTTCTGGAATTCCCATTCTCCTCAAGGTTATCCGCAGTTTATCATGATCCACACAATCGAATGCCTTTGCAAAGTCAATGAAACACATTAAGAATCGTTCTGGTATTCTCTGCTTTGAGACAAACTCCATCTGACATCAGCAATAGTATTATTCCTTGGTCTGTGCCCTCTTCTGAACCCAGCCAGAACTTCTAATAGTTCCCCATCAATATGTTGCTGCAACCGTTTGGTGGATGATCTTCAGCAAAATTTTACTTGAGTGTGTTATCAATGGTATCATTCTACAGTTTGAGCATTCTGTTTGGTCACCTTTTTTTGGAATGAGCACAAATAGGAATCTCTGCCCATCAGTTGGCCAGATAGCTTTCTTCCAAATTTCTTGGCACAGAGGAATGAATGCTTCAGTGCTTCTTCAGCTTCCTGGGACATTTTGATGGTTATTCCATCAATTCCTGGACCCTTAGTTTTGGTTAAAGCACTCAGTGTAGTCTGAACTTCTTTCTTCAGCACCACTGGTTCTTGCTCATAAGCTGCTTTCTGAAATGGTGGAATGCCGACTAGTTTCTTCTGGTACAGTGACTCTGTGCATTCTTTCCATCTTCTCTTGATGTGTCCTGCATCATTCAATATTTTGCCTATAGAATCTTTCAAAATTTCAATTTGACTTGAATGTTTCCTCAAGTTCTTTAAATTTCAGAACTGAAACTGTTCTTCCCTTTTGGTTTTCTAATCCTAGCACCTGGCACATTGCATTATAGTATTTGGC